AGACATAATTAAGCCTAGTAGGTTCCGGTGACTATTCATCATTTACTGGCAGATAAGAAATTTTTGGTAGCACGAGTAGCAGCAAATTCAGTGTCCGCAATTATTTGCTTTTTGTGAACCAATGTAATACCAGCTGGTTGTTGCCTTCGTTCAGATGTCAGCCGCAGAATTACTAAGTTACTACTGGCAAAACGCTACTTAGTTTATACAGCACGTTGATTATGCTTTTTTAGTAAACATCTGAATCTGTCTTAGAAAATGAATTTATAATGAATGCATTTATAGTGATGAAGATGCCATTTGAACTTTTGCATAGCTATATAACTATATGAAAATGTCCACAGTAAAAAGAAAATTTTGCCAAGAATTACTTGCTTTCTTTTCTTTCATAAATTTTTGTAACTAGAACAGAAACCGTGACAAAATGTAAAAATTCAGTACACAAGTTTTGAAATTTTTTCAAAAAAAAAAACTGCACTGTAGTTGAAGCTCAAAAAAGTAAAAGTAGCAGTTATAAACCATTTTTTCTCTCAAAATTCATTTGTCAAAAATAACAGTTAACAATTTAGAACAAATTAAGGCAACTGCATATGTACAGAAAAAATAAAATGCACTTTTTCGATTATCTGACGAACGTTTAACTGTTAGTATTTTGCATTTACAATTTTCTTATGAACAGCCGTGTAAATCAAAACTTTCTTGTGAGCGATTAGCAAAAAGTAAATGATTTCACAGGTGAGTACTAAAAAAGGCACGAAAAAATACAGCTAAAAATATGGTTTTTACAAATAAATGATGTGAATTTCTCTACTTTTGTTGTATTATTTTCAAAAATTGCAGATGACATCTTGCAACCACTGCAACCTCTTGTTAGGCTACTGTAAACCAATGCTACTGTTTTGCATCCAAAGAGCAAACGAGGCTTTTACAAAAATTTTGACTGTTATAAACTGCAACGCTATGGAACTCACTTACCATTGAATTCATAATTCCTGGTCGACTATAGCAAGTATTTACACATTTAAAACAATTGCAACCAAAATTGTTTAAGTGAAAAAACAATTGTAAAACAAAGCTAAGAGTAAACTGCTCGCGAAAAAACAATAAATTTTGGCGTAATTGATCAGGCTTAACAAACCTTCTATAAACAAATAAAAGTTTTGTACACCTAAACATTAAACTAACCTTGCTGTAGCAAAATTAAAAGGAAGAAGAGTCATCCATGTGATGCGAGTCGTGCCAAAGATGAGATGAAGTTGGCCATTTAGAGGCAATTATTCCGACTACTCAACACAGATGCTTAATACAGAAACATCTGATTAGCATATACAGAAAAAAACTATCAGTTTAGCGCAGCTATAGTTCATTAAGAAAAGAAAAGGCTATAAAATGAGAAAGTTGGAAGACATGGCACTTTATTTCCGGCAAAAAGAGCAGAATCGACCTGCTGCAGCTTTAATTTTTTCTTAGTTAAGTTCTGTGTATTGTACTGTAACTGCTTACTACCAATTCACCTTTACTATTCTCTCACCTGATAGAATTTGTATAGCACTGTTCTTTGTTACTTGTGCTTTCCTTAAGTGTTTGCGTTTCCTATCATTAGTTTCTCTTCTTTCTATATTCCTTTTGCCTAAATTACATTTTCATTTGGGGAGTCTCTTTGTTCACTACTGTTGCCTTTCAGTTATCTGATTATTAATATAAGTTTAAATGTAAGCAACAAAACTTACTAATAATTTAAAGGTGTTGTTATACTAAACGCCGCGATCAGTTAAATTCAAAAAATAAATTGCAATAAACTTATTATGTTGTCATGTTGGTTAAATCTTGACAGTCTTTTGTGACACTTTATTTACAACTGCGTTAACAATAAAATAAGTTCTTATATATCGTTTTAAATAAACACGAATTTTTAGAATTTTGTTGCCGTATGAGTGCTGGTAAAAATAACTATTATAACACTCAATGTTTCATGAGCATTCGATCAGAATGAATACAACCTTGAAGTTATATTAATGAAAGACGTTCAAGTTGTTGCCGTTATCATCTTATACAACACTAAGAGAGCGAGAGCGCTACTAGTTGAAAGGACAATTTACACGTGCACAATTCTAGTTTTTCATCGGTTAGAAACTAGAATGTACGGATTATTTTTTCTTCACTCTTTTCTGGTTCATATCAAAGTCGCACAATTCAATCAATTTGTACTGCAGTCCTATGAGCACGAAAATGTGGTTACATCTTTTAAATCCAACAACGATTCTTTTTATCCTACATCATTCAAAAGCTTAGCAGAGTCTTAACTTTATAAAACAAATTTGAATATTTGCAAAAATCTGGTTTCAGAAAAAGTAAATTACTGAAAATTAGAGACAAGCTGTAAGTCGTTGGCTAAAGTCCACTGTTTGTGATATTTTCCAATGACTTTTTGGAACAGTCAACTAAAAACCCCCTTTAAAATAAAATTTTTTTTCATGTTTATGAATAAAAAATGTGAGTGTGTAACCACTAAAAACTTGACAACAAGTCAGCAAAACTCCGAAGTGCATCATTTCGTTCCATTATGTTCCTTGTCATTCAAACTTCGCATCTTTTTAACTACCTAAACGAAAAAATAAAATTAACAGAAAAAGTGCTCAAATGATGTAGTGTACCGGTAAAAAATTTCTATCACTAAGATTAGAATAAGCAAAAAAGATGCTGAAGGCAGCAGACTGTTCCCACTTTGAGCTGACTTACTTATTAGTTTTTAATTCGCCGCAAAGTTATCCAGCAGATATAATTAAATTCTTGACAATGAAAGAAAAGGAAGTGAAAAGAAGCTAGAGCAGTTTTTGCAAATAAAGTGAAAAGAAACTATCATGAATAACAGACCAGTAACAGACAAGGTTCTCTAGAAAATTACAATAGTGACAGTTGTCGCAAAACGGTGGAAGAAGCCGAATGTAATAAAGTTCAAATGACACTAAGCACAACTCACAGGTATCTGAAAAATCAAACAGTGAGTAGAAACAGTTTTTTGAATTTTTGAAATATCACATTCATTGTTGTTTGCGAACATAAAACGACTCAAAATGAAGTAAATGAATTTACGACTATTGCATTTTATTGAACACAGTTCTTTCTTCGTTTGCAACTTCTTTTTTACAACCCTTTTAATTAAGTCAGCATATTCCTCAGTTAAAAAGTAACACTTTTAATATTCCTAATCTAGTAGGCTTGCATCTCCCACAAAACTTCTGAAGAACATTAGCCGACTGCTAGTAATACATCAAGTATAATGCTTTAGAAAATTTTACCTTAAATCAAATATGTAAAGAATGAACTTGTAATTAAATGAATTAAGATTAAACAGGCTTCAGTTAATTAGTCACTGGCT